CATGCAGATGCAGGGTCCCAAGGCATTGGGCTGTCCTTGACTGCTTTCCCAGGCCACAAGCAAGGAATTGGATTGGAAGCAGGACTACTGGGATTAGAACCGGCACCTATATGGGATCCCCAGCACGTGCAAAGCGAGAACTTTAGCTACTAGGTTACTGCGCCAGGCTCAATTATGCACATTTTTTGGAAAAAAACAAAAGATTTTTTTATTTGAAAGACAGAGTGATTGAGAGAGGGGTCAGGCGAAAGCCAGAAGTCAAGAACTTCATCCAGATCTCTCACACACCTGAGAGAAACTCAAGTACTTGGGCCATTATATTCTGTCTCCCAAGTACATTAGCAGGAAACTGGCTAGGTATTGGGAGTTGGGACTCAGCTCAATTGCTCAGAATGTCTGCCAGGTTGTCAGATATAGATGCATTTGGAAGTCCAGTATCTGAGGTCAATAATTCAAATGATGTGACACGACATTTTTTTTTTAAATAAACAAATGAACACATTAGGGTCTGGTGTGATGGTTCAATAGCTAAATTCTCACCATGCAAGTGCCGGGACCCCATGTGAGCATGGTTCATGTCCTGCCTACTCCAATTGCCTTCCAGCTCCCTGGTTGCAGCCTGAGAGTCAAGGACAACCCAAAGCCTTGGGACACTGCATCCAGGTGGGAGAGCCGGAAGAGTCTCCTGGCCTCAGCCTGGCTCGGCACTGACTGCTGTGGCCATTAGGGAGGTAAACCAGTGGATGAAAGATATTTCTCTCTATTTCTCCTCCTCTCTGTAGATCTGCTTTTCCAATAAAAATAAAGTCTTAAACAAACAAGCAAACAACACTTTCATCTATTTGAAAGGCAAAGAAAAAGAAAGGAGATTTTTCTCTTGTGGTTTACTCCCCAAATGTCTGCATTAGCCAGGACAAAACCGGGAGCCAGAAATTCAATCCAAGGCTTCCATGTGGATGCTAGGGACCCACATACCTGAGCCATCATCAGCTGCCTTCCCTGCAGGGGTTCCTGGTGATGGTAGTGCCCACTCCCATGGTATTTTAGAGGGGAGGGAAGTACATATCATTTTTATAGAAAACTGGAAGTCATAGTGTAACTATGTAAGTATTTGGAATTGGTTTGAAAACATTTATGATTTCTTCTGAGAGTCATGTCTATGGGACTTATCCTTGTTGTAGCAGGTGTCAGGTTTTCATTCCTATTTATGGCCAAACGGTATTTCACTGTAGGAATGGGAACAGCGTCTTTTATTTGCCTCTACATCTGTTGATGGACATTTGGGTTGTTTTCACCTTTGGGCGGTTATGAATTGTGCTACTAAGAATTTATATGCATGTTTTTGTTTTCTCAGAGGATAAAACTAGCAATTTAATTTAATAGCTTAATTGGTCTTAAGTCCAATTCTAGCCAACATTTCACTCATTCCATAAAATACAGGAAGTATTCTCATGGCTAAACAGAATGGTTCAGTCTCTCAGACAGAAGAACCGACAAAAACAAAAATAATGAACAAACACCTTAGTTGGTCATTTCAGAATTGGTTCCTCAGGAAAGCAAGGAGACTGAAGAAGTGAACAAAAAGAAAAGTAACACATTAGCTCACGACAGGTCACTTCACGGGCTGCCTTTGTGATGTAAGGAGTATTACAGAAAGCACTTTATCACTGTGACACTGGCCTGATTGGGATATGTGGCTTGCTGTCACTTCTCCTAGTTTCTTGAAAGGTCAGGAAAACAGTTTAGCGCAGTTTGATTTTGGCACAAGCAATTCCCAATCTTGATTTTTTGGATGGTCTTTTGATCTGTTGGAGTGCAGGACCATGTCTAAGATGAAGTCCTCCCATGTAATATTTATTCAATAATTTTGAGCAAATGCTTTTCATTCTTTGGGGTAAGAGGTAGAATTGTTAGGGCATATGGCAATTCTGTGTTTAACTTTGTGAATTTTCAGAATATCACAGTTTTCTATTGTGCTGAGCCATTTCACTTTTCCACCAGAAATGCACATAAGTTCCAATTTCCTCATTTAAAAAATTGCTTAATTTTTTTTAAAAGATTTATTTTATTTTTATCACAAAGTCAGATATACAAAGAGGAGGAGAGACAGAGAAGAAGATCTTCTGTCTCATGATTCATTCTCCAAGTGACCACAACGGCTGGTGTTGTGCCGATCTGAAGCCAGGAGCCGGGAACTTCCTCCAGGTCTCCCAGGCGGGTGCAGGATCCCAAGGCTTTCGGTCATTCTCAACTGCTTTCCCAGGCCACAAGCAGGGATCTGGTTGGGAAGTAGAGCTGCCAGGATTAGAACTGGCACCCATATGGGATCCCGGCACGTAAAAGGCGAGACTTCAGCCACTAGGCCACCACGCCAGGCCCTCCCAAAATTACTTAATTTTATGAATTTGAAAAGACTGAAAGATCTTCCATTTGCTAATTCACTCCCCAGAAGCCTGCCCATGCCAAAGCCAGGGGGGACAAAGCCAGAAACTCAAGCACTGGAGCCTGCCTGCTACACCCCAAGGTGTGCATACGCAGGAAGTTGACAATGAAAGCAGATCAGAGGGGAGAGCAGGTGCAGTGGTACAACTGGTTAAGCTGGCAACACAGCCAGCAACACTAGCATCCCATATGAGCACTGGTTCAAGTCCCAGAGGCTCCACTTCTGATCCAGCCCGCTGCTAACACACCTGGGAAAAGCAGTGGAAGATGACCCTGCACCTGTGTGAGAGGCCCCAAAAGAAATTCCAGGCTCCTGGCATCGGTTTGGGCCAGCCCCTGCCATTGTAGCCCTTCGGGGATAAAAGATCTCTCTTCCTCTCTTTCTCTCTCTCTTCCTACTTCTTTCTACACCACTACTGTTCAGATAAATAAATAAATCTTCAAAACAAGAAAAAGAGAGCAGATCTAGGACTCCAACTCAGGCATTCTAATGCAGCTATCTATGCACCATCTATCTATTTATCATCCATCTTGCCTTCCTGGTGAGTGTGAAGTACTACCTCACCGTGGGTTTTAATTTCATTTCCTCTGCCTATTGGCCATTGGCCATTCCTGTATCTCCTTTGCAAAGATTCAAGTCCTTGTCCTTAATTCATTCATCTGAGGACTGCTCATGTTCTAGACACTCAGGCACCAGGAATGAAAGAAGGGGATACACTGATTGCTAACACTGAACAGGATTTTGCCCCCCTCCTTTTTTTTTTTTTTTTTTTTTTTTTTTTTAAGAAGAAATTAGCCCTGGGCCTGGATTCTCTTGCCGAAGTACCTTCCTGGGAGGGACTACGTTTCTGGCCCTGGCTGCTGTCCCACCTGGCACCCGAGGGCCTTGGCTTTCACAATACCCCATCTAATTAATGCCTCACCCAGTATTTACTGTACTTCACTTCTCCCAGTTGCTCTACCCTCTAACTTTTTAAGCTTCTCCTTCCTGCCCCTACATGACACAGAGAGAGGGAAAACTTAAAACAAACAAACAAACAAAAACCTGCAGATCTCTTATTTAAGACTCTTCTAGTCTGACCTTTTTACCCCAGGTACGTGGGGGTGTGGCCAGGGAAAGAAGAATCAGTTTGTTTGCACTGGGGCTTTGGAAATGGAGGGAAGGTCTGTGTTTATGAGCAAATTGCATTGGGAGAAATTTTCTAGAACTCTTTGAACTTCTCCGAGGAGCTGTTTGTTTGCCTTTTAATTCAGTCTCACTTTCTTGGAAGCAGCGAATAGAAGCGGCGGGGGCGGATGAGCTTAGCTCATTTCTGATGATCAGATGTGGGGATAAAATCTGCAGCCTGAAAGAACAGGCGTAGCCCTCCCTGACTGCTTTCTCCCAGTTCCCAGAGTTGGCTGTGCTGGGCTCCCTGCTTCTGGCCCAGCCCTGTGCCAGCCGGCAGCCCCTCCTCTTCGACTCTGCAGATATGAGCTTGTCTTCCTCTCTTGTGTAGCTCTGAATTGTGTTGATTCATTTTCACTTGATTTGAAAAGCAGAAGGAGACAAAAAGAGATCTTTTATCTAGGGGTTTACTGCCCAATCGCTCACAATAGCTGGGGCAGGCATAGGCGGATGCAAGGAGCCCAGAACTTCAGCAGGGTTTTCCCACGTGGATGGTAGGAACCCAAGTACTTGCACTATCTTTTGCTGCCTCCCAGTGTGCATGTTGCCAGGAAACTGGATCTGTAGTGGAAGAACAAGGACTCAATCCAAGAACTCCGAGATGGAGTGCAGGCGTCCCAAGCACTAACCTAACCGTGGTGCCCGATGCCCTCCCTGCCTCAGTGTTCGGGAGTGTTCACTCCTGCAGGGCAACTTCAGGGCCTCAGGACTCTGGAATGCAGTCTGTGACTGGTGGGCTATGTTCCATCAGCTCCTCCTGTCTTGTCACTCACCACGGGATCTAAAATGCTCCCATCCTCCTGTCACAATGTTCTCTGCTTGGTGACACCATCTCAAGGTGGCGAGCTTGGGTGCCATTTGGAGCACCGGTGGCACCTGTTATGCAGCACCCCATTCTTTAGAACAATAGGAGCTCCCCAGCTGCCTTTTGATGGTTACAGTCTGCCCTAGTCTGTCTTTGACCTTCAGGCCCAGAGGACAGACATTGGCTCATCAAAGAGCCCCATAACCTAAGGCCTTGGATTCCAGCTTTGGGTCCCAGTGTGAGCTTCACTGGTTCCTCAGATGGGACCCCAGTTATTCACCAGGAGGTAGGGAATGGGATGCAAGTACAGCAAGTTTTGTAAGATCTGTCTAAGTAAGTAAGGTAGCTGGGGTAATTCATCCTTCCTAAGGAGGCAAGGAGGAGACCCCTTCCCCATCTCGGGTTAATCTGGCCCCTGTCCTGTGGCCTTAGGGTTAAGCTCGAAGTTGGGAGAAGGGTCCAGTGGCTATGTGGTCCCTAGCACATTGCAAGCAGCCTGATTCCTGGTTGGGTGTGCTTGGCCCTTGGGACCATGCAGGTCCAGTCAGGTCCAATGAAATCCATGGCCCTGCCTATCCTCCACAGTTCCACAGAGGTGGATCACAAAGCACCCTTGCCAATTGGAGGTTTCAGCTATGTTCAAGGCTACACCAAGTTTCATCTTGTCAACAAGACCGTGGGCCAGTGTCTGGACGACACAGCAGAGAGAATCCCGGACCAAGAGGCCTTGGTGGTCATCCATGAAAACATCCGGTTGACCTTTGCCCAGCTCAAGGAGGAAGTGAGTGCTCTCCCTGAACCCTGAAGGTGGGCAGTTCCTAGCGCCAGGCTGCCCTGGCTGAATGGAGCTATGAGGGTGGGCATATGGCTGTGGGGTGGGTGGCTGGTACTCCTTGAGGACCAGGTACTTCCTGTCTCAGGTAACCCTGAAGCCCTTGTTAACCCTGGGAAACTGCTGGTCTCTAAGGGGCCATGAGGGTGGGGGTAATGGGTCCCTTCCTGTGTGTGTCTTCACCTCACCCCTATGCTCTCCTTGTTTGTCCCAGGTGGATAAAACTGCTTCTGGCCTTCTGAGCATTGGCCTCAGCAGGGGTGACCGGCTGGGCATGTGGGGCCCCAACTCCTATGCCTGGGTGCTCATGCAGTTGGCCACTGCCCAGGCGGGCATCATTCTGGTGAGATGAGGCTTGCCTGTCACTGTGGGGTATTTGGTAGTTGGTGGGGGTCCGGGAGTGTCACTTAGGACCAGACCCATGGCCTGGCGGGGTTTGTGCTGTCTTCTGAGGCTCACTGAGTGGCCCTGCCTCTGAGCCCCTTGGGAGTGGAAGGGCAGCGGGGGAGAGAGACAAGGACACTGACAGGTCTCCGCCTCTCCCCAACAGGTGTCTGTGAATCCGGCCTATCAGGCCATGGAACTGGAGTACGTCCTCAAGAAGGTAAGAACTTGTTCCTGCAGAGGGACCAGCTAGTACCCAGTCCAGGGTTTCCCCAGAGGGATGAGGGAGAGTGTGTGTGGGGGGGTGACACGTAGTGTCCTTCTGGGCTATATGTAGCAGGAAGTCTGGATTTTACGGAGGGAGTGGTTGACCAGATACAGAGTTGGTGGGAGTGCAGATGGCGGGCATGTGTGAGGGAGAGGGGTGTGCATGCCCTGGTACCTGGCGCATATAACTCAATGTGGCGGGTGTACATCTTGGGAGTGGTACGTGGATCCATTTATCTTGGGGTGGGGTACACATGAGTGTGTGTTGCTGGCTGGTGCAGATCTGCACTGGGGCAGTGATGCGCGTGTGTGAGAACAGAACTGGTCAGGAGGGGTCTGCAGTACTCTGGTCTGGGGCTTCCTGCTCTCCAGTAGCCAAGACTCCCTCCCACCAGGTGGGCTGCAAAGCCCTTGTGTTCCCCAAGCAATTCAAGACCCAGCAATACTACAACATCCTGCAGCAGATCTGCCCAGAGCTGGACAAGGCCCAGCCAGGGGCCCTGAAGAGCCAGAGGTGGGTGTATCCCAGGTGCACCCCTGACCTCCCTCACTGCCTGCTCAGCCCCAGTGCTGGAGCTGGCATCTCCCTCTGTCCTCTCACCCTCCCTCAGCTCCCACATCCCGCCATCCTCCCTACTCCTCCAGGCTCCCAGATCTGACTACAGTCATCTTAGTGGATGCCTCTCTGCCGGGGACCTTGCTCTTGGATGATGTGGTGGCAGCTGGCAGCACGCAGCAGCATCTGGCCCAGCTCCGGCATGCCCAACAGTTCCTGTCCTGCCACGATCCCATCAACATCCAGTTCACCTCGGTATGGTGGCAGTCTGGGGCTTCAAGTAAAGGCTGACCCATGTCCTCTCTGCCCCTGTGACCCTTTCCTGGGGATGGGAACAGACATCAACAGGGCAGGTGCTATCTCTTGAGGTCACCCTTCAGTTGTCCTCTCTGCCGCCAGGGTCCTTGTCACTTTCCCTTCCTCATTCTCCTGTTCTGGACACAGGGCAGGTTTACTGGGTCATTACTAGCCAAATCTGTCCATCGTTGGACTGAGGCAGAACCTGAGGTCCAGACAAGGAAGGTGCCCAGGGAGTGGGCAGCAAAGTTCTCTGAGGTGCCCAATGCACAGCATGGAGATGGAGACCTTATCTTCTGCACTTTCAAACCTGGCATCGGGTGGTACTTTTTGCAATTCCACATGAACATTCTAGTCTCCTGGTTCCCAATCCAGTTCCCTTCTGGGCAGTGGCCAGGGTGGGAAGGAGGTAGGGAGAAGGTGGCCAAGCCATCGCCTGCTTGTCTTGTCAGGGGACGACAGGCAGCCCCAAGGGGGCCACTCTCTCCCACTACAACATCGTCAACAACTCCAAACTTATTGGGGAGCGCCTGGGAATGCCTGTGAAGGTGAGGTGGGGCAGGGCAAGGGTGCCCCAGCAGGGGTTGGGGGCTTTCCTGGCTCCCCAACTAGCTAGAGCAAATGGCTTCTGTGGCTTCTGGCTCCATGGCAGACCCAGCCTCGCGTTTCTGTCCCCAGATGCCGGAAGAGAAGCGTTTGGTCCTGCCCAGCCCCTTGTACCACTGCCTGGGCTCAGTGGGGGGCACCATGGTATCCATGATGCACGGTGCCACCCTCCTCCTGTCCTCGCCGAGCTTCGATGGCAAGAAGGCGCTGGAGGCCATCAGCAGCGAGAAGTGGGCACTGGCAGACAGGCTCCCTGTGGGCTGATGAGACCCTTCTAGTCTTCCCTCCTGGGCCCTGCCCCCTTCCTCCCCAAGCTAGGAGACCCGGGAACCAGGGTAGGGGAGACCCCAGGACCAATTCTTGCCAATTCAAGAATTTCTCCTGTCTGTTCCCCATGGCTTTCGTCTTGGCCTTTGCTGCAAGTTCATGGTGGGATGGGGTAGAGGAGGGAGTTCTTTTCCACTTCTAAAACTAATTTTGAGACCCCCTCCCCCCACACAGAGGCTCCTACCTGTATGGCACCCCCACAATGTTTGTGGACATTCTCAACCAGCCAGACTTCTCCAATTATGACATCTCGTCTGTTTCTGGAGGTGGGGTGGGGCCGAGGGCAGCCAGATGTGGGGAGGGGGCTACCTCCCTTGCAGGAGTGGGCGTGGATGAGCAAGATATATATCCGGTCTTTGATCCAGGGGGCAGTAATGGACACTGCAAAAATGTGGGTGGGAGGGAATCAAAGCCCCTGGACCCCAGCCCCAGATCAGCTGCCAGGAAGAAGAGAGTGAGGTTGGTGAAGGGTGTGTGGAGAAGGGACCATTCTTCTCTTAAGTGAGCTTCAGGTGCAGAGGGGCCACTAGGCTTAGAAGATGGGGGGACCTGTGTTAGCCCTCTCTCTAATTCAGGTTTAATCGCGGGATCACTTGCACCCCCGGAGCTGATCCGAGCTATCATCAAGAAGATGGATATGAAGGAGCTGGTGGTGAGTGGCGGCTAGGACCAGGATTTGGGATGGGGCCAGGGCGGAGGTCGGGGCTGGAGCAGACTGACAGGACTGTGGATGATCCCAGGCCAAGTCTTGGATGGGGGAGTGTGCCTGGGCCTCCCCTCCTTCTGGAAAGCAGGTGCAAGATCACCTCATCAGCACCTAGTAAGTAGTCAGAGATGGGTGGCAGGGGAGTGACTGTTATATAGACATACATTTATATTTATAGAAATCTTGGGATGAATGCAGCAGGGGGCAATGTGCCTCAGAGCACAGGTGTCCTGCTAGACTGTCCTGGCAGATGGTAGCTGGCAGAGTCAGAGCATGGGCTTTCTTCAGACCCTCTATGGAATCAGGGGGTTGGACAAGGATCTGGCATTTGTTTCTAAGTAGTTGGGGAAGAGGATGATTCTGTAAGGGTGGCCTTCCTGATAATAATCACCCTGTTTTGTTTCTGATAAACTCAGGTGGTCTGGGAGAGGGGGCCCTAGCAGAAGAGCCAGGCATGAGGTGGTTCGTTGAGGGTTTCTGTCTTTCCCCGTACACTGTCAGGTGGGGCTGAGTTGGTAGCGGAGTGCCCGAGACCCGCCACCAGGACACATCTAGGTGTGGGCAGCTCTGTGCATGCGCAGAGACCGTGGGGGGAGGCAAGAAGGTCAGTAGTCTCTCTCCGGCAGAAGGCAGAGGCCAGTCACCAGGACCAGCTGGGTCAGGACCTGCAGTGAGGCAAGGACTGGTGTCAGGAATCTGATGACCTAGCCAATGGCGGGAGTCCTGGGTAATCTCCCCTCCTTTAGAGGGAGGCCCCAGCCCTCCTTTCTTTGCTCTAAAAGAAGAAAAAAAAATGGAGCATCTGCCTGCCATTCCATGGGGAGAGTATATTCTGGGAGACAGCATCTCACTTTTTGAAGGGAATGCAAGATCTGCTCACTTGGCACTCACCTGCACCTGTTTAATGGCGGCCAGCTTTCTTGGACCTCTTCGTGGGGGACTTGCAGCTACGGAAGGCATCTGTGTCACGGATGTGCTGGCCCTTGAACTTGGCAGGCGAGGAGCAGGTGGCATCAGGGCGAGAGTTCTTAGCTTCCAGCCATCTGGAGAGACAGAATTGCTATGGTTGGGGAAGAGCTGTAACAGTGCCAGCTATGGGGCCAGGAGTGATTTGGCATTAGAATAATCTGGAACCACCACCCTCATTCCCAGGTCCCATGCCTATTAAGTGGCAAACTCAGGGCAAGTGTCTCCACTCTATCACAGGAGATGGACCCTGGGGGCAAAAAAGGGGTGCTCTTACCGTCGCAGGCCCCGGAGCTGGCAGGTACACTTCCAGGGATTGTTGGTAAGGCTGAGTGTCTCCAGGTTGTCAAAGGGAAAGTTGGAGGGCAGTTGGTTCAAGCGGTTGTTCTCCAAGTGGACATGTTTCAGTGTGGTCACACCCAGGAAAGCACCATCTGAGAACTGGCGAGGGAGGTGGGCAGCGGTGAACACCCAGCCCCTCTATTTCAGCCTTTCTCCACTGGATTTCCCACAGGGAGCTAGGTCTTTCTCTAGGCCAGTGAAAGTTTCACCATTTTCCTTTATAAGAAGGCTTTGGTTGTTTTTAAGATTTACTATTTGATGGGACCGAAAGGATGGTTCAATGGCTAAATCCTCACCTCACAAGTGCCAGGATCCCATATGGGTGCCGGTTTGTGTCCCAGCGTCCTATTTCCCATCCAGCTCCCTGCTTATGGCCTGGGAAAGCAGTAAAGGACAGGCCAAAGCCTTGGGACCCTGCACCTGCCATGGGAGACCCAGAAGTCCTTGGCTCCTGGCTTAGAATCAGCTCTGCTCCGGTCATGGTGGCTATTTGGGGAGTGAATAAGCAGATGGAAGATCTTTCTGTCTCTCCTTCTCTCTGTAAATCTGATCTGCCTTTCCAATAAAAATAAATTTTAAAAAAATAATAGAAGATTTACTTATTTGAAAGTGACAGAAATAGAGGTTCAGAGAGAAAGGTCTTCAGTCCAAAGGTTCGCTTCCCCAGTCCCACAACAGTGTGCAAGCCTGGCTGCAGCCAGGAGCCACGACTCCATCCAGATTTCCCAGGTGGATGCTAGCGACCCAAGGACTTGGTCTATTCTCCACTGCCTTTCCAAGAGTATTAGAAGGGTGCGGAGTTGGAAGTGGTATAGCCAGGACTTGAACCGGTGCTCTGGTATGGGATGGGGACATCCCAAGCAGTGGCTTACCCTGCTGCGCCACAATGCCTGCCCTGGAATTTCACAGTTTTCAAAACTGTATAATTAAGTTGTTCCAGATGAGCTCACCCACACAACCCCTTTGTAGATAGGTGGTGTTATTTCCAATATGCAGATGGAAAAATGGAGAAAGTTCAGGCCTTTGCCCAGGGTCACCCTAGGCAGTAAACAGTAGCCACAAGGACCACACCCCACCCATCTCCCCCTGGCACTTCACTCCCTGCACAAACACTGGGTCTGGGGCGGCAGCCAGCATCAGTCCTGCCAGCCCAAGCTGGCACACAGTGAACCTGGTCAGTGTCTGGTGGGGTGGGCCATAGGCCCAGGTTCCCCACAGCCTTAGGGTCCCAGGACTTCCCTCAGCGCTGTCCTCACTGTTCCCCCACTGCCTGTCAGATGCTATTTGTACAGCCATTTCAGTTGGACGGCTCCAGAGGAAATATTCTATTGGTGCCCACATCTTGGCCAAGGCACCACGGTTCCTGCCTGGCCTTCCATGCCCCAAATCAGCTACCCTTCTGCCTACTTTGGCACTGCAGGGGTTGATGCAGGCTAAAGAAAGCCAGACTTGGACAGGCCTCCTCCAAAGGTTGGCACTTTCCCAGTTGGAACCGCATCTCCATGCCTGTGCTGTCTCCTGTGGTCCAGGTTGGGTGTGACGTGCACTAGTAACCAGAGTGTCCTTTACCCGCCCAAACTTCCTGGCTGAATCAGCCCTTGGCCCGGGGTGGTTTGCCAGTCCGCTGGAAAGGATTCTGTTCTGATCCAGGATCTCCACACCTGGCGAGACTGGGCACCCCAGGGGAGGAGGAGCTGAGAAGGCAGCCAGCAGCCCAGGAGACAGGGAGGGGACAGTGTGGCACAGCAGGCTTCCTGTGCTGAGGAAGACCCTAGGACGCATGCCAATGTCTGACAAAAGTGTCCTGGTCTTTACCCCTTTGTAAGAGCACATGGTCTCTATGCCCACAGCCTTGGTCAGCTCTTGGTCCCCTCCTAATGCTGGTGGACAGCGCAGGGCTGTCCACAGGGTCTCAGCTGCCCAGCCTCGCCACTACACCTTAGCAGACACGCCCAGTTCCCACCAGGAACAGGGTCTCTTTGTGGCCTGATTTGCCCAACTCCTCGGGGAAAGCTCCTCAGTAAACAAGCCTTCCTGTATGGGATAGCAGGGTTACTGGAGACAGGAAAACAGCAGGGTGGTGGCGGGGCAGGAGGGTGGTGTCCAACAGGAAGAGGGGCTGCTGCACAACACTGGGGCTTTGGGAGAGCAGCCAGTGTCATTTAAAGGGCCATTGGTGGGGCCAAAGCAGCCCCTGCCCTCCTCGGAGAGCAGTGGAGGGAACAGGCAGTCAGGTAGGAATTAGGGTGCAAATGGAACAAGAGGGAGGGGGTGGTAAGATTTGGGCCTTGCAGATAGCCAAAGCTACAGGGACTTGGGGGTAGGGAGAGGGGAGCAGAGTAGGGGGTCTTACTCCCTGAACCTCCCAGAAGGAGGGAGGCATGTCTAGCCCAGAGCTCACCTTCTCCAGGCTGGTGTGGTCCAGCCATAGGGTCTCCAGGTATCTACCGAAGGACTGGAAGGCATGGTCGGGGATGCTCTTCAGGGGGTTATGCGACAGCTTCAGCTCCTCCACCACCCGCAGCTTGCTCAGAGCAGCCGACGGGTAGCTGGATAGCTGGTTCCTGTCCAGGTGGAACTTGGCCAGGTTCTCCACATCATCCAGTGCACCAGGCTGAAGAGAACTGATTGCATTTTCAGAGAGGTAGAGCCAGCGCAGGTCTTTGGCACCCTGGAAGGCACCGGGCCGCAGCTCCCGGATTTTGTTGTTGTTGAGCTGCAAGATGAAGAGGTTTACCAGAGGGGAAAGCAGCCCCCGGGGCAGCTCCGTCACCTTGTTGTGGTCCAAGTAGAGGTAGGTGAGCTCGGTCAGGTCGTCAAAGGCGCCAGCGCGCAGCACCCGGATGTCGTTGTGGGAGAGGTACAGATAGATGAGCTGCTTGAGGCCACGGAAGGCACCAGCCGCCACCTCGCGGATCTGGCAATGCTGCAGGTGCAGCGACACAAGGTTGGGCATGGCTCGGAAAGAGTTGGCAGCCAGCACAGGGAAATTGTTGCGCTGGAGGTTAAGCAGCTTGGTCTTCTCTGACACCTTGGGAATCTTCTGCAGTCCCACCTTGTCGCAGATGACATGCTGCAGGTCACCGTGGCAGTGGCAGTTCTGGGGACAGGCAGCCAGCACTGGTAGCAGGCTGGCCAGCAGGCCCAGACTAAGTAAGAACATCAGACGGGCCATGGCCAGGGCCAAGAGCACGGGCAGTGGCCAATCCTTAGCGCTTGGGTCTCCCGCCTTATTTATACGGGCAGCACCAACCGCAGCCAGTGTCCTGAGCCAGCTTCTACGTGGAGCATTGAGGCCACCAGGCTTAACTCCCTCTTGCCCAGAGATGCACCCCTAGCCTCAAAGGTGATCTGCATTTGGGGGGGCCTGGCCTACATCCCTAAACCCCTGTGCCTTGCTCCCCGCTTTCAGATGCTACAATGCTGTTTCTCTCCCTTTCTCCGGCTTCCTTAGTGTGTGTACTGGAGTTGGGGGGGATGGGGTGTGGGTGTGTCCAGAGTTTATACCCGAGTAAGGGAGGCGTTCCCTGAACTTGTTTGTTTGCTCAAGTTTGAGCCTCCTCGCCACCCTCTTTCCCCAACCCCCCTACACCCTCTGCCTGGAGCCTTGGAGCCCGGGACAGAGGAAGCAGGGCTGCAGACCGGACATGTGTCTCGCCGCATTTGGCTAGCCTGCATCGGTGCTTTAATGGGGTGCCTTGTGCAGCACCGGCCGAGAATGTGAGCTGCACTGGCGTGGGGCTTCCCCTCCTGGATGCACAGCCCACAGCCATGCTGCGGGATGCGGCTCCTGCCCTGCCCCCAGCCAGGGTCTGCCTCTGTCCCTTAAATCCCCCTGCCTCATCACTGAAGAGTAAACAGGAAAGTGGAAACCAGGAATGGGGGTAACCTGTAGGACCGGAGACCATGGGCTACTGAACAAGCAGTCACCCCATCCTCTGCTCTGGTTCCCCAAAATTATCACCATTCCCCTCCCCCCAGCCCTTCTCCATGGTCAGGACCTGCCCCTGAGGGGGTCTCAAGGCGGCGGCTGAGTGGCGCCACCGCTGAGGTGTCCTTGGCAGAGGCTACATGTGGGCAGTGGCCCCAAGACTGGGAGGCCCAGTGAGGGGGGTCAGGCCTGCTTGGCCACAAGGGCCCATCTCAGCCCAGGATGCCAGTCACTGGGTTCTGTGGGCAACCCCACCCCAGCTGGCCAGGCCTGTGGGTACCCACTTGCAGTCACCGTGTCCGGATTGCTGTGGAAAGCAGAGAGGAGCAGGCAGGGTCAGAGCCCTGGCTGCAGGGCAAGCTCCAGGCTGCTCGGATGGGGCATGGCCATGCTGTGGGGAGGGGAGTGCGACCAGGAATCACAGCCAATGTTAAACCAGACCCAACCTGTGTGGGAGCCATCAGCTGACCCAGATACTAGGGGCTGGGGGCTGGGCAAAGAGCTCCTGTGGGTGTCACCTATAGGGGGCTTGGAATACAGGACAGCTGGCCTGGTTCCCCTTACCTAGTACGTGCCTGTGGGGGCCTGGTCTCCAGGGCCTGCCCTTTCCACAAGCTCTCCTCCCTTCTTGGAGGCAAGGAGGGAGAGGGGGCCAGGTCATACTTGGCCCAGAACATTCCCTGTTGCTATTTCGGCTCCTCCAAAGCTGGCTTCTGGTTTCTCTGTTGTTCAGGATGTTCTAACCACTGAAAGTGTGTGTGTGTGTGTGTGGCTGGTGATGGGTTGGGGGGTGTGTATCACTGGCCTTGTAAACCCCAGCTTTGGCTGTCTTTTTATTTTGCTGGCCAAAAATGAACAAGACTCTCTCCTGAGCCTAAGGGCGCCTACCCCAAGGCCCAGGCACTTGTCTTGGGATTTGGGTGGGGGTGGGGATGGGGGGTTTTGTCTGTGTAGCTCCTGGCTGCGCCAAGGCAATCTGGTTTTCTCATCAAGCAAGCTTATGGGGCCTCAAGCTTGGAAGGGAGCAGCAGGTGGGGCTCAGGCAGCCTGGAGGTGTGGGGAGATTTCTAGGGCACCAGTGATGCCAGGAGTTGTGGGCACACACGTATGGAAATGAGATGGGGTGACCCCTGGCTAGCACAGCATGGGTCCCCAGCTCACCATCTGGGGTCCCTGCAGAGACCACGTCCCGTTCGCTGGGATCTCTCTGTTCACACCAGTCTGCTTCCTGCCCTCCCCACCCCTGACCCGGAGTGGCTTGCCTCCCTGCTCTGCAGCGTTTGAGCTCTCCCCTGCCCCCCAATACCCTCCAGGTTGTCTATGGAACCACAGAAAACAGTCCTGTGACCTTCATGAACTTCCCCGAGGACACACTGGAGCAGAAGGCAGAAAGCGTGGGCAGAGTCATGCCTCACACAGAGGTGAGCTTCTCCCCGAGACCGCCGCCCCACCCCCCAGCCCACCCTAGGGATCCGACTGGTGCCTTCCAGATGCTGCAAAACCCAGCAGCATAGGCTGTCCGGCGGCCTGGCCAGGGGGCTTCCTCTGGGGGCCAAAAGGGGAAGTGTGTCTGCCGCCAGCTGCCTTCTCCACAGCCTCCCTTCCTGTCTGAGGTGTGTTTTTGCCAAGCCCACTGTCTGTTTCAGGGCTGCCTCAGAGAGCAGCCAGGGCACGGAGGGTTTTTCCTACACAGTTTGCTCTCCTCCCGCCCCCAGCACCTCCCTGCCTTGCCCCAGCTGAGTTCCTCTTTCTGCTTGGTGTAAACAATTTCCCTTGTGTCTCAGGGACTACTCCCGGGGCGCTTCTCAACCCGATTCCCAGCTGTGACTTCCCTCCCTGCTCTCTTAGGCCAGCCCCCCTCATGCCCTTGCCCTTGTGGGGCTAGCTGCTGTCCTGGTGTGGCCCTCCCGTCCTCACAGAGCAGTCCTAGGTGGAGCAAGGGTGCAGAGATGTGGCCACCCTCATCGAAATACCCACAGACAGTTTCAACACAGACCGGCAGAGTTTGCCCCATTTCACAGACGCAGACACTGAGGCTCATAAAGGCTCAGCTTTCCCTGGCATGTTGCCTGCAGTCTGTTTTCACTCCTAGGCTTTTACACACCTCTCCCACTCACATGTGCTACTGTGCCCACCTTCTCTGGCTTCTTTATCTGCCACTTCATGGCAAGTAGGAGGCTCCTGTCTCGTCTTCTATGCAATAGTTGGTCCCCCAGCCCACTGGGCTCTTGGCAGACCTCCTCTGCAGCCATTCCCTGCTCACTGTTTCCTAAGCAGCCTCCCACCCCCATCCTCAGCCTGGATGGGCTTCAGTTGCTCTTTTGTGCCCAACCAAAAATAGCTCTCCTGCCCTTTGTCTCCCTTGCCTGAACCGGGATGGGCAAAGCTAGGGATTGGGGGGAGGGCAGTGTTGGGGAGGAGGTGAACGTAATACTGTCCCCAGTCCCGAGACTGCCCATTGTGAAGGTGATCTGTCGCAGGCCCAGATCGTGAACACAGAAACAGGGAAGCTGGCAGAGCTGAACACGCCCGGGGAGCTGTGCATCCGAGGGTACTGCGTCATGCAGGGCTACTGGGACGAGCCGCAGAAGACCTTGGAAGCAGTTAGTCAGGACAAGTGGTATCGGACAGGGTGAGAAGGCCGGCGGCTAGAGGGCTGGCTGCTGAGGGGAGCCTGGGTGGGGAACATTGAGGTAGCACAGTATGCGTGTGGTGGGGTATGTGTATACATGTGTGTGTCCAGCAGTCCCCTTCTTTCCTGGAGCCTAAATATCCAGAACATGGACCATGGGAGTAAACTGTGCAGAACCGAGGGAGGTGACTTGGACTGCACACATGATGCCAACATCCACACAATGGCTGCCAAGAGTTGGCTGATTATTTTTTTAAAGGATTTATTTTTATTATTATTGCAAAGTCAGAAATACAGAGAGGAGGAGAGACAGAGATAAAGATCTTCCATCCGATGATTCAGTCCCCAAGTGGTCACAATGGCCGGAGCTGAGCCTATCTGAAGCCAGGAGCCAGGAGCTTCCTCCAGATCTCCCACATAGTGCAGGATCCCAAGGCTTTGGGCCATCCTTGACTGCTTTCCCAGGCCACAAGCAGGGAGCTGGATGGGAAGCGGAGGTGGCCAGGATATGAACTGGTGCCCATATGGGATCCCAGCGCATGCAGGGTGAGGACTTTAGTGGCTAGGCTACTGTGCTGGGCCCTGGTTGCTCAAGCCGTTTCTTGGTCTGCTCCTGCTGTGTTCCGGCATTGCTCTGGACAGTGGGTGGGGGAGCTAGACGAGAAGAGTTCTGCTCTCGTTTCTCCCATGGCAAAATCCTGGTAGGACAGTTGCATAGAGCTGTGGGGGTCAGGGTGGCTGTGGGGAGAGGGGAGCCCCACTTATTCAGAGAAGGCTTCTGGGAGTGTCTAAGCTGAGAACCCAGTGCTGGAACACAAGCCAGCCATGCACAAGAAGTGGATGGGGCCCGGCGCAGTGGCGCAAGTGGTTAAAAGGTCCTCGCCTTGCACGCCCGGGATCCCATATGGGCGCCGGTTCTAATCCCGGCAGCCCCGCTTCCCTTCCAGCTCCCTGCCTGTGGCCTGGGAAAGCAGTCGAGGACGGCCCAAAGCTTTGGGAACCTGCACCCGCGTGGGAGACCCAGAAGAGGCTCCTGGCTTCGGATCGGCATAGTATCGACCCGTTGCGCTCACTTGGGGAGTGAATCATCGGACGGAAGATCTTCCTCTCTGTCTCTCCTCTCTGTACATCCGCCTTTCCAATAACAAAATAATAAAAATAAATCTTTAAAAAAAAAAAAAAGTGGATGTTAGCTACTATTGAGTGAGAGAGCCGGTCCAAGAAATCTTTTTCTCTGCCCCAGAGAACAGTGTGTCTCGTTCCCACTCTGTTTCTCACAGTCTAGAACAGTGAAGATACATAGTAGGTGCTCAGTCCACATCCAGTGGGGGTGCGAGGCAGCTGCGTGAGAGACTGTGCGGGCTTTGCTTACAGAGATATAGCCTCAATGGATGAGCAGGGCTTCTGCAGGATCGTGGGCCGCTCCAAGGACATGATCATCCGCGGTGGTGAGAACATCTACCCCGCGGAGCTTGAGGACTTCTTCCATACCCACCCGCAGGTGCAGGAGGTGCAGGTGAGGCGCCGGGCCCCAGAGGTGGGAACCTGTGTATGGTGCGTGTGTGTGCGCGTGCACGCACACATGCAGATGGGCGTGCCGGACAGGGGTGTCTGATAGCAGTGTCTGTCCCTTGGTAGGTGGTAGGCGTGAAGGACAAGCGGATGGGGGAGGAGATTTGCGCCTGCATTCGACTCAAGAGTGGGCAGACGGTCACGGAGGAGGAGATCAAAGCATTCTGCAAAGGGAAGGTACGCGCCTCAGTGTCACCCCGGCTGACGTCACCTCCTGCTGACGTCACCCTGGCTCCCCGGCTTGGACTTTGTACCGCCTTACTCAGGATTGGGGTCGCTCTGCGGGTGCACCTGCTCCCTGGCCCTTCCCCCCCACCCTCTGACCTTACTGAACCTGATGTGCTGTCTCTCCTTGATCTGCAGATCTCCCACTTCAAGATTCCCCGCTACATTGTGTTTGTCAACGAGTACCCCCTCACCATCTCCGGGAAGGTGTGTGAGGGGAGATGGGGAGGGCCAGGCGCTAGAGCCGAGGAGCCCCTTAGACCTCGGCCCACTTGTGGGAGCCCTGGGTCTACCTCTGAATCCTTTCTGTTTTTTCCAGATCCAGAAATTTAAACTCCGAGAGCAGATGGAAAGGCGGCTCAAGCTGTGAAGGAGGAGGCGGCTCTTTGCCTGCCCCTGCCCTCCCCACCAATCCCCGGTCTTTGTGATTTGAAATAAAGAGCGTCTCTGTTTTCTTGGCTGGTTGCTGGCAGCGTGCTCTCTTGGCAGATGCTGTGGGATGGAGAAAGGAAGAGATGGAAGGGAAACTGGCACCTTGACTCCTCTTCCTCACCTAGAAAGTGCTGATGCTTTGTTCCTTACGAATCCCACCATCGCCTCAGCCCTTTGAACTATCAACCAAAAAAACAAAATTGTTTCAGGCTCTACTCATTTAATTCTTTGTCACATTGTTGTTTCATTAGTCTAGCAAGAATTCTTTTTTATTAATCAGAGCTTTGTTGAGTTATAATTCATTCAAGTCACCTGGTTTTAAGCATACAACGCAATGGATTTGAGTATATTCACAGATGTATGCAGCCATTACCAAAGTCAATTAAACATTTCTAAACTATTCGATGGCGCTGGTGCTGTGGTCTAAGTGGGTAAAGCAGCTGCCTATACTATCAGCATCTTCTATGAATGCTGGTTCAGGTCCCACTGCCCCATTTCCAACCCAGCTTCCTGTTAAAGGCTTGGGAAAGCAGTAGAGGATAGCATAAGTGCTTGAAACCCTGCACCCATGTGGAAGACCTGGAAGAAGCTCCTGGCTGCCAGCTTCAGAATGGCCCACGTGCAGCCATTGCAGCCACTTTGAGAGTGAATCAGTAAGTTGGAAGTTTTCTCTTCTTCATTCTCTCCCTATATAATTGCCTTGAGAATTAACAAAATCTTTAAAAAATATATTTCAGAGGTAGAGAAACAGAACTTATCCCCTGGTTCATCCTAACTGAAGCGAGGAGGCAAGAATCTAGCCCAGGCCTCCAGTGTGAGGGGGAAGACCATGACTACCAAGCCATCACCTGTTGCCTACACGGGTCTTCACTGGCAGGAAGCTGGACTCATGAGGCAGACTCAGGAGCAAGTCCAAGCACACCAATATGGAAACAGGAGGCTGGGGCTGGGCCAGCCGAAGCCAGGAGCCAGGAACTCCTGCTGGGTCTCCCTATGTGTGTCGCAGGAGCCCATACAATTAGGCCACCTTTCGCTGCTCTTTTAGGCACATCAACAGGGAGCTGGATCAGAGGTGGAGCAGAACTGGAGCCCATATGGGTGCCAGGCATCTACCCCAGAGTCAGTTTTTAAAAACTGGCCTTTTAACTATCACCCCACCCCCATTGCCTGTCTCCTTTCCCAACCTGAGTTTCTTTTTCTTCTTCTTTTTTTTTTTTTTCCTTGAACTTAGGACATCCCTGAGGGGCAGGGCCAGATGGCACAGGCTGCTGCTTGACTCAAGAACTAAAAGCTTTTGGGTTCTAGGAAGTGCATAGACACTCTTCCCTCTTGCAATGCCCTACTCACCACCCCACCCCATCCCAAGTGCATGCCTCCTCCATGTGAAAAACCGCCATGTAGTGCTCCCTCTAGGTGGCCCGCTTCACACATAATGACACAGAAACTCAGGGAAGTTAGGGGTGTGCCCAAGGTTGCACAGCTGGGATGAGAATTTGGCTGTCAGTAGAGCAGGCACCAGTCACCACGCTGTGAGTGTGCTGAGGCAGACCATCGGCACAGAGCAGTTCCACACAGCACGGAGAGCATGGAGTGCTACCTGCATCCCGTGTTGGAGTGCTGCTTCCATCCCAGCCACCCCACTTCTGATCCAGCTCCCTGTTAATGCTCCTGGGAAGGCAGAGAGGATGGCCCAAGTGCTGGAGTTCCTGCTACCCATGTGGGAGACTCCAGTGGTGCTCCTGTCTTGGCCCTGATTGTTGGCAACCCTTTGGGAAGGGCTCCAGAAGATGGAAGGTCTCTCACTCTGCGTTACAAATTAATCAGTCTTGATCAAGTCAGTGAGGTGGGCTTATTGCTCACAGTGAAGCGGCAAGGTCATTCTGAGCTGGTCCCTGAGGCTCAGGAAAGCTGCCAGGGCCTCCCCTGTGCCTGTGCAGCAGCTAAGGGACCTCCAGCCTGTCCCAGGCCCTGTGATGTGCTGGGACTGGGCTACAGCATGAGAGGATGGCCTGTTTCTAGGTGGGAATGGAACAGGGCTCAGGGGGTTCTAGCCAGGTCCTCCTTCCCTCGGGGTTTTGCACTTTCAGTGCATTCTACAACAAGCTAGAAATCTCAACAAACTAGAAAAGAGTTAAGAATAAACTGGGAGTGGCCCAGGGCTGCTGGGGAGCAGTCCAGCCCTCTCTGTTGTGACCATAAAGCCCACAATCTTTCCACTTCATTTGCTGCCTCTCCAGGTGTCTGCCTGCCCACCCCGTTCTTCTGTCCCTCCACCTCCCCTGTGAACACCATCTTCTAAAAATTCAATTTATGGGGCCAGTGTTGTGGCACAGAGGGTAAAGCTACCATCTGGGACACCAGCAGTCCACAAGGGAGTAGGTTCAAGACATGTCTGCTCCACTTCTGACCCAGCTCCCTGATAATGTGTCTGAGAAAACAATGGAAGGTGGTCTAAGTGCTTAGGCCCCTGCACTCACATGGAAGACCTAGAGGAGGCTCCTAGCTGCTAGCTTCGGCCTGGCCTGGTGTTGGCTGTTGTGGCCAGTTAGGGAGTGACCCAGTAGATGGAAGACCTCGCTCTTTGCAGTCTCCCTCGCCCCATAACTCTCCCTTGCCAATAAACAAAAAAATTTTTTTTAATATTTATTTTATTTTTATTGGAAAGTCAGACTTACAGAGAGAAAGGGAGACAAAGATCTTCTGTCTGCTGATTGGCTCCCTAAATGGCTGCAACAGCCACAGTCGAGCAGATCTGAAGCCAGAAGCCAGGAGCTTCTTCCAGGTCTCCTACACAGGGGCAGGTCCTAAGGCCTTAGTCATCCTCTACTGCTTTCCCAGGCCACAAGCAGGGAGCTAGATGAGAAATGGAGCAGCCAGCACACGAACCAGCAACCATATGGGATCCTAGCACCACATGCAAGGAAAGGACTTTAGCTACTAGGCTACAGCACCAAGCTCCAGAATAAAACCAATCTTTAAATATATGTATTCATGTCATTGAAAGGCAGAGAGCTAGCACCCTCCGTTCACAGATTCACTTCCCAAATACCTGCAACAGCCAAGGTCAGGCCAGGCTGAAGCCTCCTGAGACATCATTCACTATCTCCCACCGGCAGGAAGCTGGGTGCTGGAAGCAAAGCTGGGCCTTAAACCCATGGGATATTCTCGGCACACAGACAGCAGCAGTCTGACTGGCACCCTACCCTCTGTACCAACGTCCCCAGCATTCTATCCTTCTTCTACCCTGGCATGTACCATCCAGCAGGTACAGTCCAGGGTGCTCAGGCTGACCTGACCCAGGATATGAAAAGCCGACTCTCTAGGCCAAGTCAATTCCTCCTGGGACTTTCTGCTCCTTTAGGATCCAGTCCAACACTGTTTTGTGCTCTGTTCCTCCTGCACCCCTCCCCCCAAGGGAATGACCTTTCATTTACTGAGTACTGGCCAAATGACAAGCAACACTGAATTAATGTGTTTTCCATCCTGATTTGTCCCTTTGCCACTCTCCTGTCAGACGTCGACCTGGTCTTCCGCACGTAGCTGTGCCCGGTGCCCAGCTCCGAGCCAGGCACAGAAAATGTAAGGGAAGTGCCAAGGAGCTAAGGGCTCCTGGATAGGTCTGGGAACTTGTCGGGAAGTCGGCGAGTCGCTCGCTTGCCCCGCGACCTTGGGAAAAGCCGGGCAGGCGGCGGCGCGGGCACCCCTGCCCAGCAGGTGGCGCCGCAGACCCGAGGGCCCCGGCGCTTCGGCGGATGCGGGCCGCGTCACGCAGTCCCTCTTCCTTCCTCTGCGCCCTCTGCGCCTCGGCTCGGCTCGCTGCCCCGCATCGTCGCGCGGACTGCGCGCCATGGTGCTGCCCCGGGCGCTGGCCCGCGGGTGGACGGCGGCAGCGGCCAGGGCGGCCCAGAGGCGCCGCCGCGTGGACGGCGAGGGAGCGTCCCCGGGGCCGGAGGCGGCGAGCGCGCGCGCGGCGCTCTACGTGCACGTGAGTGAGGGGGCGCGGCTCACAGCGCCCCACGGTGGCCATGGCCACGCGGAGCCCAGTGGGAGGCTGGTCAGGGGACAGGCACACCCGCAGTCTCTCCGGGCCTGCACCCGGGGTCTGGGATGAGGCCCGGCGCCCTCAAGTCACTGATACGCACCAGCTCGGTGACCCTGACTCCGTGATCTCCCGCCTAAGCCCATTTTCTTACAACCTGAGTGTGACCCTCAGGTGTGTGCGTGTGTGTAGGGAATGGGGTACTGTGTGTGGTTTGGATTTCGGATGTCCGGTTGGGATGGAAGTGTGGGCCAGAACCCGCACTTAGGGCCTCCCCACTTTTCTCCTTCCCTGTAGTGGCCCTACTGCGAGAAGCGCTGCAGTTACTGCAACTTCAACAAGTACATCGCCCGTGGAGTGGAGGAGGAGGTGATGAGTCAGTGCCTGGTGACCGAGGCGCAAACACTGCTGCGCATGAGCGGCGTGCAACGGTGGGTGCTATCCCCGGAATGATGGGGGAGTGATATGGCAAGCAGCCGAGCGCACCCCCTCCCCACCATGTCTCATGCTTCCCCACCCCCTCCTCCCAGGGTGGAGTCTGTGTTTTTTGGTGGAGGAACCCCCAGTCTGGCCAGTCCCCACACAGTGGCTGCCATCCTGGAGGAGGTGGCACGGGCAGCCTACCTCCCTGCAGACTCGGAAGTCACCCTGGAAGCTAATCCCACCTCAGCAGCAGGCTCCAGGCTGGCAGCCTTCGGGGCAGCTGGGGTCAACAGGCTGTCCATTGGCCTCCAGGTAAGCCACTTCACCCATTCATTCCAGGGCACCCAGGCCTGCAGTGCTGAGTGGCAGCCACTCCTGAGGCAAGCATCTCATTGATATTCTGGTGTCATTCGGCCCTGTGGTAACACTTTGATAATAACTTGACTACAGGCTGCTTTGCTGGCATTTCAGCTTCCTACAAGCTTTTTCTTGTTGTTCTTTCAGGAGACTAAATTATGTTTTATTTGAAAGGCAAACTTACAGAGAGATCTTCTATCCATTGGTTCACTCCCCAAATGGCTGGTCTGAAGCCATGAACCAGGAGCTTCTTCTGGGTCTCATCTGTGGGTGCCGTGGCCCAAGTGTTTCCCCGACTGCTTTCCCAGGTACATTAGCAGAGAGTTGGATCGTAAGTGGAGCAGCTGGGACTCGAAACGGTATCCATATGGGATGCCAAGATGGCAACATCTTACCCTGAGACATTTTTAGGAGCCACAGGGCTGCACTCTTTAAAAAGCCAGTGTCACGAAAGATGAAGAAAGGCTGGGACTCCAGAGTTCATTGAAGGTGACTCAGGGGACAGTGACAGCTGAATGCAACCCCTGGCTGGGCTGGAAGGGGGACATTACTGCAGTAGGTGTTCCCAGATTTGGATACAACTGTGTCAGGTCATGGTGTTGTGTCAGGATGACCTTTCCTGGAGCCTGTGGCTGGCTGGTGGCACTGTGTGAAAATGTCCTTGTTTTCTTAGTGAAGGCGCACTGAAGTGTTTCAGAGGTGAGGAACAGAATACCTGGGTTGGTTTAGCCAGCAGCTGCCAGCCAAGTAAGCTTGTGAGCACTTAGGATGTGCTTATTTAAATTGGAATCTATTTGTTTATATTTAAAGACTTGCTTTGTCTCTTTGGAAATCAGAGTGATGGAGAGGGAGAGATAAGAAGGATATCTCAGGCACTGCTTCACTCCTCAAACGGCTCCATGGCCAGCGCTAGGCCAAGCCAAAGCCAGGAAGCTGGGACTCTGTTCAGACCTCCCGTGTGGTTCATAGGACCCACACGCTGGGGCCGTCTTCCACTGCTCTCCCAGGCACATTAGCAGGGAGCTGGATCAGAAGCAGAGCAGGCAGAACTCAAACCAGTGCTCTGCCACAGGATGCCAGCAGAGCAAATGGTGGCTTAACCTGCACACCACAGTGCCAGCCCCATTTCAGTTTCAGTTTAAATGGCCACGCCTGGCTAGTGCTGACCTGCAGTAGACAGTGCAGATACAGAATATTTTTATCATGGCAGGAAGTTCTTTTGAACAGCGCTGATCTGTCAGGGATGTTCAGATGGTTCTGGATGACAGTATGCTTATATCTGGAGAGAGACAAAGTGTGGTGAGATGTTGGTGAACCTGGATGCTCTCCTGTCACCTTTCGTACAGGTTTGGTTGCTTTCAAAATAGCAGGTGCAGTAAAGATGGACCCTTGACCTTGACCTTGACTTTGGAGTCAGGTGGGAAGGACCATTGACCTTGACCTTGACTTTGGAGTCAGGTGGTCCTGCCTTCCAGGTCTGACTTTGCAGGTGTAGGTCTTGGGCAGGGCACTTAACGTCTTGGAATCTCAGTTTTCTTATCTGTAAAATGGAGCTAACAGTAGAAGGGTCCAAGAATGAACTTAAATGCAGACAGCACACAGAGATCTTTTGGTGACTGATTGCTCTCAGCACTTGCTTGGCTGTCACGCCCTCACCTTCAGTCCCTGCAACACCCCCGTGATTATGTCTCCTAGCATGCTGACCCCCTGCTCCTGTCTTCCCAGTCCCTGGACGACTCAGAGCTCCGACTGCTAGGCAGGACGCACTCAGCCAGTGATGCTCTGCGGACGCTGGCCGAAGCCAGACGTCTCTTCCCGGGCCGTGTGTCTATAGACTTGATGTTGGGGCTGCCTGCGCAGCAGCTGGGACCGTGGCTAGGGCAGCTGCGGGAATTGCTACAGCACTGTGATGACCACATCTCCCTCTACCAGCTGTCCCTGGAGCGGGGCACCACACTCTTCACCCAGGTGCAGCAGGGTACTTTCCCTGCCCCTGACCCTGAGCTGGCAGCCGACATGTACCAGGAGGGTCGGGCTGCCCTTCAGGAGGCAGGCTTCCGCCAGTACGAGGTCTCCAACTTTGCCCGCAATGTGAGTCCTGGGGTTGATGGTGGTGCTGGGGAGTGGACCAGCAGGGATGGGCCCAGGGCGTTGTGGGTCCCTGCTGCAGGCTTTCCCACCTGAGGTGCCCCAGCCTAAGCAGACACCACTGCCCTCTACCCCCTGCATTGACTGTTCCCTCGCTTCCCACAGGGGGCGCTCAGTACCCATAATTGGACTTACTGGCAGTGCGGCCAGTACCTTGGCATCGGGCCTGGTGAGTGAGCTGCGGTGAACCACAAAAGGGATGACTCAGGAGAGGAACGTCATGCCTGTGTGTGTGAACTTGGCCTCTTAGTAACCTCTTCAAGCCTCCGTTGCTTGTATGCTAAGTGTTCAGCGTGTGTTTTAAGGGGCTTGACATAGTGCCTGGCACCATAGCTCTCTATCTTGGCATGTGTAATCCCAGACTATGGGGCTGGCATTGTGGTACCGCATGTTAAGCTGCTGCCTGCAGTATCAGCATCCCATCTGAGCACTAGTTCGAGTCCCAGCTGCCCCGATTCTGATCCAGCTCCCTACGACTCCACCTGGGAAAGCAGTAGTAGATGACCCCAGTGCTTGAGTCCGTGCCACCCAAGCACTGGGTGGAATTCCAAGGACCTGGCTTCCTCCTGGCCTAGCCCTCATTGTTGTAACCATGCAAGGAATGAGCCAGTAGAGAGAAAATGTTTCTCTGTCCCCTTCTCTCTCTGTTCTGTCTTTCAAATGAATGAGTGAATGAGTCGATGAATGAACATAGAAAGCAAAACCCATACTGCTGGACCCTGCCTCTGATTGGCTGGGGCTGGAATAGGACCCCAGCAATTGCATTTCTAGCTTGCTGGGTGCTGGCAGTCCAACCCCACACTTGGAAGATTGCTGCTTTGCATCTGTACACATACAGTGCTAGCTGCTGCTAATGCTGTTGCCATTTGCAGGGGCCCATGGCCGATTTGTGCCCCAGGGTGCCGGGGGCCAGGCCCGGGAGGCTCGGATCCAGACCCTGGAGCCTGACAACTGGATGAAGGAGGTGATGCTGTTTGGTCATGGTACCCGGAAGCGCACCCCACTGGGCCAGCTGGAGCTGTGAGCATCCGAAGGCACGGGCTCTTGGTGTAGGGGCCCAGCACCATATGCCCTGTGCCTTGTGTGCCCCATTCCATGTGATTCCCACTGACTGCCTAAACATGCATCCCAGCCTAGGGCTTGAAGAATGGGAGAGAAAAGTCCTAAAACATCTCAATTCTCTTTCAGGCTGGAAGAAGTGTTGGCCATGGGGCTACGCACGGATGTGGGGATCACACACGAGGTAAGGGACAGAGTTCTCCACTTTGTTCCCCTGTCCTGTCTCTGGCAGAATCAGTCTCTTGCGTCTCTCCTGCTGCCTCGATATATTCCTCACTCCTTCCTCTGGGATTGGCACCTGGAGGCTGGGTCTTAGCTGGCTGAGACCTGAAGTGCAGAAGCAGTGGGCAGTGTGGTATGATGGTTAGAACCTTACCCAGGGCTACAGAGACCTGGGCCCTACTCCCCATTCTAATGGGGACTAGCCTCTGTTTTCTCAGCAATATGAGGGAGTTGAGGTTGGGGAACATCCAGCCTACAATCCATATAAGGCCTGCAAAGTCATTTGACCTGCCAAGGCAACCTCAGGCGGGACTTGAAATCCAATATCTACAGTGGGATGATTTTTTAAGTTGGTACTTTTGTATGGCCTGCAAATGGCGTTATAAATATCCAAATGGCCCTTGGCAGAAGAAAGGCTCCCAGCTCTGGCTAATGGGTTTTCAGATGACTTTGAGCAGCTCTAGAGCCTCAGATAAGTGGAGATCGATCAGACTCATTGCTGCCCTGAGTGAAGTCAGGGTCCTACAGCCCTGGGCAGGGCTGGCCAAGTGCCCACTGGCAGGAGGGGGAGGGCTAGAGGGAGATCGGGCTTGGCTAAGAGGGGCTTCAACTTGCATGTGAGGTAGGTGTGGAGGTGCTCCCCCACTTTGTGCAGGCCCATGGACTTGGTCTTTGTGTTTATGGGGTCCCCAAGCTGGACTTGACCCACCTTTAGCCCGCGTCTCTGCCAGCCATGTGGCCCACAGTTGCCTGGTCAGCTCCTCTCCTCTGACTCTGCTTTCCCCAGCACTGGCAGCAATTTGAGCCGCAGCTCAGCTTGTGGGCCGTGTTTGGAGCAAGCGAGGAGGTGAGGGCACTGCTGGAGCAAGGCCTGTTGCTGCTCGATCACAGGTGTGTTGGGGCAGCGGGGACTTGGGGAACCCCAGTTGCCGATCTGCAGAATCCAGGGCAAGTGGGAAAGACGAGTGAGAAGGGGGCTGGGAGGGTGGTGCCAGGGTCCTTGGCATCGGTGCTGGATGGGGTTGGAATTGCTAAGACGAAGTAGTCACCTCCAGTCCCCTTGGTTTTCCAGTGGTCTGCGGTGTTCCTGGGAAGGTCTTGCTGTGCTGGACTCTCTGCTGCTCACCCTCCTGCCTCAACTGCAAAAAGCCTGGCAGCAGAGAATCTCCCTCCTGCCAGGAGACCGGCCAGCATCCCCAGCGAGGCCAGGTGGGCTCTGAGAGCTGAGCTGGCCCAGCTTACAGCTATTCTCTCCTGACTGGTACCAGATCTGCTTCATGTGTTATGTGCCCGGCCCTGGCCTCCTGGGAGCTGGGGTTCAGCCAGCGTGTTGGGACTTGTAGACTTATGTGTGTGTTCCGATCACACACAGCAACTACTGGTTACCTTTTCAGTGCCAGCTTGGGAGCTTTTCTCCAGAGACTGAGGTCCTACTCATCATGAGCAGGAGGCTCTGAGACAGACACTGAAGTCCAGAAAGCTGGCTCCCACTAGGTATCCTGAACAGGCTTGGGCTTAATGCAGGAGCAGGATCATTACAAAACTGTGGAGTCTTTTGGAGTCAAGACCATCTGCCCTGTGCAGTGTCCTGTCTGCTGGGAGTGTTTGGGCCGTTTCTTATTGATTCGATTCAGGATCAGTATTTTCAGCAAGACGATGACATGCATGTTGTATCCCTTGGGGTCTGCTGGCTCGACCCGTGGGCTGTAATACTCATTTGCTCACTTGATCTGCATATCTGTTGTACAGATATGTGTTTTCCTCCAAGCAAGGCAGGGCGTCCAGAGACCCCAGGAGGGAGGATCCTATTGCCATATAGTCATTTGCTCCGTGATTTTGGTATTGAACAATGATCGTTGCTCAAATCAATTCGTTAACCGAGTTGTAAGATGTGTGTTTCTGGTCCAATCAGTCCTGTGTGTTAATTGTCATTCAGCCATTAAAAAAAAAAAAAAGCTTTCTTTTTTTGGGAGGGAGGGATGATTCTCTTCACCTGAGTGCTGTGTGTGGAATGTGTGGATGAGAGACAAAGGTGTCGTACTTCCACAAAGGATCTCTGTAAGGGTTATACTGCGTCGTGCCAGGGAATGGCACGATGCCTGCAGTAACTCCGCCAGCTGCATCCTTGAGGACGGGAGACCCATCCTCTCAGAGGCAGGCATGTGTGTTTCTTGTGTGCCCAGCAGGTGTGAGTGCCAGTCTTTCTCTGACCCTGTGTAACATGGTAAGTGTGACCACCTCTCCTTTATTCATGAAATATTCAGCGGATGTTAATGGTGTGCCAGGCAGTGTGCCGGGCCCACGGAGAGCAACAGGAGCTACCCTAGGCTGTGAGGAGCTCACTAGCACATCAGAGATGTGGAAAGTGATCAGCTCCATGGTTGGCAATCACAGTGTACATACAGGCTCTGGGGGTCCTGGGGTGGGGAGCAGGAAGGAACAGGAATATGTTTTTCTCACCACCTCCTCCTGTGCCTCAGGTGTCCTGGGATGCGAGGATGGGGCAGGAGGATGCGAGGAGGAGGCAGGCTGCCCTAGGAGCCTCTTCCCCAGCCTTCCCCTGATCTTGATATTCAAGAAGTAAGCATGAGGCCAGAACAGGTGCCATCAGATAACCTGGGCTCACTCAGGTTTCTCCCAGCTGCCAGGACTCGTGCCACCTGAGATGTCCTGGCCTCCCTGCTGGGGTGTCTCATGGGGCCTGTGCGGAAGGGCTGGGTGAGAGCCAGGGCCAGGTGGGGGTGGCACGGGATCACCTTCTGTTGCTTTGCCAGATGAGTCTGTCCAGGAGGGGGAGCCCAGGAGGCTGTTGTCAGATGCTTCCTAAATGAATCAGGAGGGTTTGGGTACCTGCTTGTCTCCCATCTTCATCCCGAGATACTGAGATGAGAATAGTGGGACATGGCTTTTTGGACATGACAGAGTGGCAGTGCGCCCCTCTCTGTTTCCTGGCTCTCTGGCCACATATGTCCAAGCATTCTCCTTTGAAAGGCAGAACTACAGAAAGGAGAGACAGGGAGAGATCTTCCAGCACTCTACAGATGGCTACACCAAGCCGGGAGCCAGGAGCTTCTTCTGGATCTCCCTTCCTTCTTGAGCTGGGAAGAGGCTGTGGGACTTGCCAGTCTTAGTCATAGGAGTAAGTAGCTGTTCTCCCATCACAGGGACCTGCAGTGTTCAGAAGCCAACTGATTTGTCAGCATGGGGCCCAGATGCTGGGCAGAGGAGCAGCCAGCCACAGTGGACATAAATGGGAGAGGCATTCACAGGCAGGCCCGTGGGTTTTCTTCTTCCGTTCCTCCTTTCTTCATCCCTTCCTTTTTTAAGATTTTTTTTTTTAATTGGAAAATCATATATAGGGAGAGAAAGAGAGAAAGGGCGAAAGATCTTCCATTGGTTGATTCACTTCCCAAGTGGCCGCAACAGCCAGAGCTGAGCTGATTCGAAGCCAGAAACCAGAAGCTTCATCTGGGTCTCCCATGTGAGTGCAGGGTCCCAAGGCTTTGAGCTATCTTCTACCTCTTTCCCATACCACAAGAAGGGAGCTGGATGGGAAGTGGAGCAGCCAGGACATGAACCGGTGCCCATAAGGGCTCCCAGCACTTGCAAGGTGAGGATTCAATCAACTGAGCCATCACACCAGGCCCAGGCCTGCAGGTTCTTACTTGTAGCACAATTGAGGTGAAACTTCCAGATCAAAGTGGTCATCTCGTAATTCTGGGACTAAGCACTTCTTAAGATTCTAGTGTGTATCTTAACAGAAATTCCTACGTACTAATCAGTTTATTTACAGTCTCTTAAAAAAAGGGGTTGGGGCTCGCGTATGTGCTGTTTCAGAGCCTGGTTGTTTTATCTAATATGTAGTGGGCATCTTTCCCTGCCGTATTTATGTACATCCTATTTTTAGTGGGCCCCATGGTGTACTGCTGCATGCTCCTGCCAAGAAACTTAGTTTTCTAGTTCTTTTTTGATGAAGCTTAGTTGGATTTTCAAATCAAATATTTGAAAAATTTTATTTGAGATGCAGAGAGAGAGAAAGATCCAGACAGACGAACTCCTATCTGCTGATTCACTCCCCTAATGCCCAAAAGGGCCTGGACCAAGCTGGGAGCCGAGAACTCAGTTCATGTCTTGCCCATTGGTGCGAGGAGCCCGGCTCCTTGATCTCTGGCTGCTGTCTCCTCTCCCAGGGTCTGCATTTAGCAGGCAGCTCCGATCAGCAGCCAAGACCAAGAAAGCAAAGCCTGACACTGCAGCGTGGACTGCAGGCCAGGCCACGTGCCCTCCTCTGCTTCAGTTTTTGCTAATTATAGACACTTTGGTGATGGATGTGTTCTGTAAATATTTTTTGTGCATTACTTTGATTGCTTTCTCAGATTTTGGACAAATCATAAGAAGTGAATTGCTGGCTTTGAGGTGCTCCTCATCCTTTTCTTGGGGACTCCATGCCAAACTCCCCCCTGGGAGGCCTGCCTGGTCCTTGGTCTCCCCACTTTAATCAACAGCCAGCGTGGTCAGGTTTTCCTGGATCTCATCTGAAGAGAATTCCCCACGTCCCTTGATGAGCAGCTCATGCGCTGGCCCCTTAGCTTTGGCATCTGCTCAGAGTCAAGTCCAAGTGTGAAGGGGAGGTGGCCCTGAGCCACTCAGGAGAGGACAAAACTGTGGCTGTCTCTTGTGCATCAGCTCTGATGTTCTCTCACCCAGACCTCCTTTCCACAGAGCCCAGCTTTCCCTTCCAGCAGCTGACTCCTTCCTTTCCTCTTGGGGGTATTTCAAGCCACCTCTCCAATTAGTCTTGTTAGACAAACAACGAAGTGGAAACACTAGACAGAATCCCAAATGAAAAAGGAAAAAAATCAATCACCTGTAATCAGTGGCCCCGACAAATTAAATTGTTTTGATGTGTCTGTGTCCCTTGTCCTTGTCCAAATGTGCACCACGTGCATGCCCAATTGGGACTCGGGCATGGATCTTGTTGTGCGTTCTGTCCCTTTTGCTTCTCATTTTTCATAAGTCGTTTTCCACATTGCTATGTGGTCATCATCTTTGTCATTTTAATTGTTGCACAGTGTTTCAGTGAATGAATAATTTAATCATCGTTACCCTAATGGAAGTCCCTTATATGGTTACCCGATTTCCCCTGTTAACAGGTAATGCTGCTTCTGCTGTGTGTTAATGGACATAGCATTTTCCTTTACTTGAATTATTCCCTCAGGTCAGCGCCTGAGAATGAGATGGTGGAGTCTAAGGCATGGATTGTTAGCCTTGTTTTTCAAATGGCTTTTCTTTTTTAATTATCATGTTCAAAAAGTAATATAGGCTGCATTTCAACCACACAGAAGAAAATAGAAATTCTACTACCTAGAAATTACCACCGTACATTTGGAAAGCCGTCCCTGCAGATACCGCCTAACATATAACTACATGTGTAAACATTAAAATAAAAATAATTTCTTCACAGGGGCCGGGGGCACTGTGGAGCAGCCGATGAGATACCCTCCCCATATCAGAATGCCTAGGTTCCAGCTCACTCTGTTTTCAGTTCAGCTTCCTACACACATGCATTCTGGAAAGAAGCAGGTGATCGTGGGTCCATCACACTCGTGTGGGAGGTTGTGGTGGAGTTCACAGTCTCTGCTGCTGTGGGCATTTGAGAAGTGCACTGGTAATTGAAAGATGGAGCTCTTTTTGTTGCTCTTTCAAATAAATGAAAATATTTTGGCGAAGTTTTTAAAAAATAGCAATTTCTTCAGGGTTGAGTGTTTGGCTCAGTGGTTGAGACAGTGTGGGGTTTGGAGGGGACAGGTATTGTGGTGCAGTATGTTAATACACTACTTGAGGCACCTGCCTTCCGTATGAGAGTGACTGGTTCTAGTCCCGGTTACTCTGTGCTTCTGATCCAGCTTCCTGCTGATGCATTCAAGAGTTAATGAATGATGGCCCATCGAAAGTAAAGCATGCAAATCAAGTGTGCATCGGTTATATAAAGTCCCATTGCATATGAGAAAAAACCCAAATAGCATCCAAACAAGATAGAGGTCAGTTTTTCTTCACATAAAAGACCTCTGGATATTGCATTTCAGGGTTTGCTTGGTGGACGCACATCCATTGGTCTTGAAGAACCAATGCTTCTGGCTTTTTCCTTACAGACTCCATTTAAGGCTTTCACCCCCAGGGTCTCCCCATGTGATCTAAACATGGTCCTTGGAGCTCCAGCCATTGAGTCTGCATTCCAAGCAGCAAGAAGGAGAAAGACAGCAGTGTGTTGGCATCCTTGAAAGGGCTTTTGCTAGCATGCACCTGCCGCACATCATCACCTTGCTTCTAATTGACTGTCCTTGTCCTCAGGGAAGCTGGGCTGTGTCACTGCTGAGCATGGTGATCCAAAATATGAGGTTGAGTTAATTTCTAAAAGAGGAAAGAAGAAGAAATGGATGATGAGGCAAGTGGGCAACTGCCACCACAGATATCCTTCCCAATCCTTTTCTCCAAGTTGAGGTACACATGAAAAAGTAACTTAAAATAGTCAAATGTGTAAATGGTACCTTGCTTTAATTTACATTGAGGTTTGCCAGGCAGAGGAAACATTCTCTATTGAATATTTAGTTACTGTGTTGGGTGCACAGGGGAACCCTGTGTTACAGCCTGAGCAACAGTGGAGGTTACTGACTGTCTAGGTAGATATTAGGTAACAGGTGCTACAAGTCAATGAGGTCTTCATCTTACTTCCAGGATTGCTTCCAGTGTGCTAGCCTTTTTCTCTTTCAAAGATTTCTTACTTTTTTGGAAGCGAGTCTTGGAAAAATTTCAGTGACATTTATATAGTCAGGTCCATCTGTTGCCTTGTGATTCTCTCAGGCATCTTTCCTCCTCCAGAAATGTGGTCTACAAGGAAGTTGCTTGACGCCTCCCTGGCCCTTCCCTGGCCCCACCCAGGCTCCTCCCAGGTTGCTGTTGCTGATG